CCACCTGGGCACAATGAGCCACCGTCCAGGAGCTGGGTACCTGCACCTCGGTCCCATGCCTCTCCCGGAGTTTAGTGCAGGCCCTGCAGACACCGGCTGGGTGACCTTCCGTGGGCAGGTAGAGTCTACCTGTGGATAGACTGTGCATGATAGACTCACCGAGGTCTCACCCATCATGGCTCCCACACACCCCCGGGGAGAAAAAAGCCGTCGTCCTGGCTCTGCTGTCTCCTCTGAGACCCTCTTGCAAGGAGCCTTCACCAGCACAGGGGGCTGGCCGAGAAGCTGCCACACCCCCTGCTGGGGCCACTGTTAGCACAGGTGGGCTCCTGCTGTCATAAGAGGCGGGGCCGGCTGCCAAGGCAGTGGGCAGCTTTAGGCCAGCTGTTAGATCCTTCCCAGATGAGGTCAGAGGACTGTGTAGGCCTGGATTTTAAAGAGGCTGGGCTCAGTGTCTGCACTAGGCAGACAAAGGCAGTGATGCCAGGAGAGGTAAAGGGACATTTCTGGGGTCACGTGCCTTGGGCCTGTATCACTTAGGCCAGAAACAGAGAGCTTTCCGATCCTTTCTACCCACTGACGCCTGTTTCCGAGGTCTTTCTGAAGGGAGATAGAGTTATTGCCCCGTTGTTCAGCAGAGGAGCCAGAAGCTAGGAGGAGTGTGGAACTTCCCAGAACTGCAGTCAGTAATGCAGAGCCCCACAGCTGGCCCCAGCACCTCTGCACCACCCCCACCCCCCCATCTGGTTAGGGGCCAGGGTTCTTAGGAAAAGCTGGTGACATCCCATTGGCTCTGCTGGGCAGTGGCACCTTCTCAGACCACTGCTCATAGGCCAACAAGTTCCTAGACAGCTGGAGGACTCTGGAACCTTCCCGAACAATGGTGTGCTGGCGCCTGCTCACCCAGCTACAGGAAGCCAGTGCTACCACGACAGGAGAAACCTCAGTACATCCACCCTCTTCTGCCCTCTGTGCTCAGTCACGTCGGCAGTTTGAAACTGGCCCTGGTGGGAGAATGACACCATGGAAACTG